TTTGTATTTTTAGTAGAGACGGGATTTCACCATGTTGGCCAGGCTGTTCTCGAACTCCTGACCTCAGGTCATCCACCCGCCTCAGCCTTCCAAAATACTGGGCTTACAGACGTGAACCACCACGTCCAGCCAGATGAAACATTTTTAAATGGGCAGAGTAAGCCCTCTACCACGAGCAAAACAAACTGTACAAGGAAACCCAAAGCATGTCCAGGTCCAGCAACGAGGCTCGACCGGCAAGGTTGAGGGTGCGACAGCAGTGGCTAGTAACTGCTGGCTCTGGTCGTGGAAGCCGTTGTCAGATCCAATGACAGGCTCTCGGAAAACCGCCCCGACGCCAGGCATTCAGAGTGCCTCAGTTTGCTTCCTCTTCCATTACCTAAAGGAGCAGGAAGGAAGGGTGGGGGTGGGCAGCTGGGTTCGAGACCCACTAGCTTGGGCCTCCCAGAAGCAACTGCAGACTACAAGGGTCCACGGCTCCCCGCACACGTCTGCCTTGATTCTTGCTGAGGGAAAGAAGTATCTTCCTGAGTGAAATCGGGACATTTTGCTCACACGGAAATGGAGATTTCCAACTTGCCTTGTAAAAATCAGAAGGGCCCAAATTCTCACCAGACAGCTATGAGCATCCGGATGGGACGCTTGCCCTGGTTGCACCTGCCTGGGCGTGACTCTGAGGGTTTGGAAGTGTCTGCCCCCTGCTTGAAGGGTCCCCCACCCTCTCAATGGATCACAAGGCCCTGAACGGTACAGCCGCTCTCAGGAGACCCAGGTCTTCACAGCCCCTCTCTCGTTTGATCACACAACACATTTGAGCACATGACGCTGTGCCCGTGTTGAGTCAGGCCTTGGTCTCCTCACCTGTGGGATGGCCCTCAGCCCTCAGGAGACGGAGACCTGACTTACCCCAGGGTGCATGGTGAGCAACTCGGGGAGGTGTAGTCTCGTGGGGTCCCGGTAGAGCTGGGTGGGGTGACTTCGTCTGAGCCCTGCTTTTGCCCTGGGGCCGCTATAACAAGGGGCTACAAACCTGATGGCTTAAAACAACAGAAATTCACTTCTTTACAGTTCTGGAGGCTGAAAGGTCAAATTCAGGCATGAGCCACTGCACCCAGCCTCCCCCTCTCCTTTCTAAGCGGGCATGGGTCCCCGGATTTATAGGGCCCACCCAAATCCATTATGGCCACGTCTTAATTTGATTACATCTGCAAAACCGCTTTTTCTGAACCAGGTCATGTTCCAGGTGCCAGGGCTAGGACTGGAACATATCTTTTTGGGGAGCACATGTAAACCCACTATCACGAGTGACCCCAGGCATGACCTTTCTGGTCTCTGGGCCTCAGTTTCCTCACCTATAACCTGAGGGCCCTCCCAGCTCTGACAGTCTTGGAGCCAATAACGAACTCCTTGACGTGGCTGGTGGGCTCTGCCGACAGAGAAGGAGTGAGGGGACCATTATACTAACAATAACACGAGTCCACTTGTATTTGCAGAGACCCTTGTGTATGCCAGGCACTAGATATGCTGAATATTTGGTGCACTGATCTCCCTAAATCCTGTTAAGTAGGTGATATTATCACCCCATTTATCAAGAAACGGGCTCAGAGAGGTTTGGGTGCTTGTCCCAGGCTGCACTGTGAGGTTGGCCCTCCAACCTTGGTCTGTGCAACCTTTCCACATTTCTGGCCTCCGGGACTTGAGTGTCCTCACAGTTCCTTCAGCTCTGGGCTCACGACTCTGGACATGCAAGAGAGGGAGTTGACACCCGCCCTCTCACAGCCCTGGGGCACCACCCTGTGGAGCTGGCCCTGCTGCCTGCCCGCCGCCCAGGCTCCTAACGTTAGAGGGCTTCGTGCCCCCTGACCTCCCTCCTGTCAGCAGGGGCAGCCGTCTTTCCTCCATCTGCCTCCCGTTAGGGCTCTGTCACTCAGAGCCTCTGGTTCCAGCTCTCCGCTTCTCTCTCTCTTTTCCTTGCCACTGCCGCTCACTGCCTGGCCAGGCCAGCCCCTTCCTGCCACCCACCTCCAGGGATCTTCAGCAGGATGAGGGTCCTGGGGACAAGGACCCAGAGCTCAGCCCTGTCCCTGCCTCCTAGTCCTCAGGGAATTTGGGAGTCACTCTGACTCGCCAATATACACAGGGGGATGACCTTAATATATAAAGAGCTGCTAAAAATCAACAACAAGAAGGCAAAAATACCAACAGAAACATAGGCAAAGGACATGCACAGGTGAGTCACAAAGGATGAAAAATGGTCAAAAAACAGGGATAGACACTCAGCCTCTCCTGTGGTCCAGTAATGATGGTAGCTGGTAACACGTGGGGTCCTTCTCTAGAACAATCCAACAGAGCCCATTACAGAATAGCAGGTACCATATGGTCCCATTTAGGAAAACGTGTGTGTGCAGGAATCATTTTTTTTTTTTTTTTTTGAGGCGGAGTCTCGTTCTGTCACCCAGGCTGGAGTGCAGTGGCCAGATCTCGGCTCACTGCAAGCTCCGCCTCCCGGGTTCACGCCATTCTCCTGCCTCAGCCTCCCGAGTAGCTGGGACTACAGGCGCCCGCCACCTCGCCCGGCTAGTTTTTTGTAATTTTTTTTTAGTAGAGACGGGGTTTCACCGTGTTAGCCAGGATGGTCTCGAGCCCGTCTCGGCCTCCCAAAGTGCTGAGATTACAGGCTTGAGCCACCGCGCCCGGCCGAATCATTCTTAAAGGCTCCATGCTGAGATGTTAATGGTGATTGTTTTGGGTGTTGGGATCTGGGACTTTTTACTCTTCTTTGTGCATGGATATATTTCCTCTTTTTTTCTCCAATGAGTGTGTCTTACCTGAGACTTATTAATAAAATATTATGTAAGCCCAGGGCAGAGAATCAGGCCCTGACACCCCTCCTGGGATTGAAGGCAGGCCCTGAATACCAGCGGGGGACCCAGGCCTGTCTATAAAGCTTTCTCCCTCTCCCAGCCCATGGAGTGACAGCCTCCTCCTCAGCACGCAGGCCACTCACCCTGGAGGTCCCCCAGCCTGGACTAGTGCTTCACTCACTCCCCTCCTGAGTGGCCGTGAGTCCGCCCACCTGCCCGCCTGGGCTGGCTGCAGGAATGGCCAATCAGCAGCAACTGTGGCCTCTGCCCGAGTGTGTCCCAGTCCCATGCATTCAATAAGAAGCTCAACAAGTCTCATCAGCTCATCACGACACCCCAGGAAGTGACCCCAGGACGCCTGTGTCATGGTCTGGGAGAGACAGCTGACCAAGCCAAGGTCAGCGAGTGAGGGGCCCAAGGAGGGGGCTTCACACCCAGGGCCTGGCTTCCAACCCCTACTGGAGCCCCTTGAAGAAGGGCACCCACCACCTGCCCAGCCCCTGTCCTGCGTGCGTGTGTCTGTCATACTCACCCACACTTCCACACACGCCACTCACACACAGCACACACACCACTCAGATACACTCACACACACAGCACACACACCACTCAGATACACTCACACACGCTCACACTCACCATGCACACCACTCACACACACGTCACTCACACACACTAGCACACACACCAC